GGTTCTTTGCACACCACACTAAAATGAAGCATCCCACCACCTAGGATTTTCCTGACATAATGGGATGAGACTCTTAAATGGCAGTGATTTATTATTTATTCTATGAGGGTTCCCCCATCACTGGCCTCATATGTTCTAAATTTGAAGAAGTCCATACCCTTTGGGGTACACAACATACCATTCTTACCTGTGCTAGCTTCCCTGTAACTACGAAATGCCTTTCTTGTGTTCTTAGATGCACATAATAGATGCTAAAGAAGTATGCCGTAAACTAAACAAACGGGTCCCCTCATAAATTTAATTTTCTATGGCTTTTTTTAATCCTAGAGAAAGGACAGTTTTTTCATCCTTGTATTGAGAATAATTTTCCTAAGATCTCTTTCACAGTAATCTAAAATTCACTCTTTTGTTTTTCATTGTTCAGTCTTGCCCTGTACTGTGCTAGTCTCCTGATGCTATTCTGAATATACTGTAAAATCTGCCTTGCCTCTTATTCCAAGGGGTATAGAGGATAGACCATTATACCAAGAATCATAAGAAGAGATTCTATTCTCAGCTTCACCCCTTTCTAACCATGGGAATGTAGGCAAGTCACTTAACCCGAGTGTCGGTTAGCCCCATCCATAAAGCAGAGATTATATTACCTTCCCTGCCAACCTCTCGGAATTGTGGTGAGAGTTAAACACGATAATAATGGGTGGGAAATTGGGGATTTGTGAGTTGTCTTCAGCCTGACAAATGCCTATGACTCTATTACTGTTGCATATTGAACCTATACTTCCAGTGCCCTTGCCAGCGTTTGGAGTACTGTGGTGTACCTGGGGAGAACCAAGTGGCAAATTAGGTCAATCTCAGTTTGATCTAATTTGAGAATAGCCAAGCGCAAGTGTGACACATTTCTTTTACTACTATAAATACTTGTCACGTGGAAAGCTTGTTATCTGAATCTTGGTCTTTTAAGCTTTAACTAGAATTGAAAGTACATGTTGCTATAACCAGTGGTTGCTCTTGTTTTACAAATTGCTACTAATAACAGCTGATATTACTGAGTGTGTAGTGTGGACTGGTTTCTGGGGCAAGGACCTTACATGAATCATCTCACAGAATAGGGCCAGACTGCTGTTTCGTCATCTTTCCAGGAGCTCGTATGGGGACAGACAGTCTCACACACCCATGCTACGCAATCATAGGTCATGCTGATCATCAGCATTCAAATCTGCTTCTGGGGAATGGTGTTAGGGAATATAGTTTTATTGATTTTTTTTAAAGCACAGACATAAGAGGGTACATGGAATAAAACCATAAGAAATGTTTATTAAGATGAAAGCAAGTGCATATGCTCATTTTTTACTTAGCCTTGGCCTTGTTCAAATGCTCAGAATGACAGACTCTCATATTCCTTAAATTAACCATAGCTACAAAAATAACAAATCAAAAATTAAAAACACTCCATCCCAGTTGGTTCAGTTTTAGTGGGCACAAACTTCTGTCTAATAATCCCTTCCTCAACTTAGTTCTTTGATATGCATGGTGCTCTGTTTGTTTGTTTTGCCTTTACTGAACTCCCAGGTGTGGTAACACTCATATAGTGGACAGCTATTAAGAGAGAGCAAGCTGGCTTGGGTAGAAAGCCGGAAGGATAGGAAGGCATGAAGTAGAAATGTCAGGGTCCCTACCTGCGGCTCAGCTCTGTGCTTCTCTTCTTCCTGTGCTTGACTGTCAAGGCCCTGCCTTAACTCTTGGGCCATTCACAGACCTTATAAGGAGGAAAAAGGACTTTCAGCCCTGTTAAAGTAGAAACTGTTGTTTGACCGCTTGCTGCATCATGCGTGTTTGCAAGCAAGCAGGCACCAAAACAGTCATCCAACCTGTCCTGTAAGCTTGAAAAAGTCTCAACTCTGTCCTTTTAGGCAACCCAACATCATCCTACATAGAAAAGTTATTAGACGCAAATCCAGCAATATTCTAACAGATATAATCAATCAGTCAACTCAGTTCCTGGTTTAACTTCTAACAGAATGAATTAGGAAATCCTAGGTCTGTTGGGCTTGCTAGATTCTTATATACTACTCATGGAAAGGGTGGAGAGCCCTACAATATTTGGGCCAATCCACATATCTTTAACACTGTTAATTTGACCACTGGAAATATTCATTTGTTAAGAAAGTCTCTGGTGTTGAACTGCAAAGAAAGCTTTTGTGGTAGTGACTCTAGCCTCTGAAGTGACTAGGATTTTTTTCAAATGCTAGCTAATAGCTCCTGAAGGGTGTATTCCCAATTAGGATACTCCAAATACTAACCAGCCACCCCCAGAGTGTATATTAAGTCTGATTAACATATGCCAAAATAATTTAAAGAAATTATATCAAATGTAACAGAATTTGTTAAGGATTTCTCAGGTTATCACACCTTCACGGTAGTAGAGCTCTTTATGGCTCTGAAGTCAACAGCCTGCTGAATAGAGTTTTGCACTGGCATTTATTCTTAGTGACAGCCTTTTCTTTCTTAGGATCGTGTGTGTGTGAGAGAGAGAGAGAAGTCTCCTTAAAATTTGCAGCTCAGTAAACATTTTGCAGTTCACATGTACAAGAGAATCCCACACCTGCAAGCATCTCACTAATGCAGGCGCATTTTACTTTAACATATTTACTTTAACATTATCTCTGCAAAAAGGTTAGAGACAGGAGGGAGAGGCCACATTTACCTTGCCAGCCTAAATACATAAAATATTATTAGGTTTATTCCTC